CAATAGGGTCGCATGTGGTCTGAGCTTGGGTATAGCTGACATCAGTGGGCTGTCCGTAGGTTCCATAGCTTGCTGCCCATATCCTGGGTGGTCTGTGCATATCCTTGAGTGGGCTGGGTGGTGTAAGCGCTGTAGCCCTGCTGGGCTGCAGCTTGGCTGTAGGTACTGTAATCCGTGGATGCATTTTCTATCCTTCCTCCTCATTCTCTCAACGTGGTCTCCCTCGACATTGGCTTTTCATCCTTACCAATCTTAGAGCAACTCCTTTTTGGCTGTTAATGGCTCCAATAAGCAGCCTTTTCGAGCTACGGGGAAGCGAGCGAGGCAGTAACTAGGACTAGACAGTAGCTGCGCACAGCTTGATGGAAGACAGCCTGAAAGCATACTGTCTTAAGGAAGGTGGGTGTATATCACTACCGTATATGCCATTATTTTAAGAAGAGACGACGACAACTCTATTTCTTTTGCTGAGGTGGTGATAGCCTTTTTCCAAAGAGAGGTGATAATCCGAGGAATAATATGACATTACTGAACCATCCAGAGCTTCACCTTGAACTCCTCTAACCATCCAGTACGAGCGTCGACGTAGTCGACAGCCACAGATGAACGCGCACAGCCCAGCCTCGACTGCAGCCGACAGCCCTGATACGACTTTTTAATTTTTCATTTATCAAAATAAATGTGGACATTTAAAAATAACGTAATGAAAACATATATGTATATGTTACCCATTCTGATTTACATCACAAGTAAAGCTGCCTGTAAAGTAAAACAAGCTTTCAGTGCTTTCAAGCTTTCCTCATCACACAAGAGCAAAACGGATCCGTCGTCAATGCACAGCGCAAACTGTCGTATGAGTGCCGGCTGTGGGCAAGGTTTCGGCCAGTGAGCACCAGACCAAAGGGTTAAGATGTGTATGTTGCGCGTAACTAATGAATGTGGTATTTGATAATAGATTGAAGAAATATGGTAAGCTACAAATTCATCTGGGGATACATAAAACATCAAGAAGTAAAAATCCCTCCTCCCTGCAATCACTCTAAAATACAGTATTTAGTTTTTCCTATACTAGAAAAAGCATAACACTTTTTCAAATGTGATATTTTATTGGCAGTTCCAACTTTCTTTTTCTTTCCCTGGGACAACAAGGTTTTTAAAGACATTATATTATATATGCTTCCAAACAATCCCAGGACTTTCAAATTCTTTAAACCCTCTCCTGGATGTGACACTGAAGAACTCTTCTCTGACTAATTCTTGGCTAAATTATTAAGGTTTATAGGGCTGTTGTCTTTCATCTTAATATGCACTTCCTACCAGAAGAGGACAAAAGAAATGAAGAATTGTTTAATGAGAAAACCAGGTGCCTGATAATCCTTCAGAGAAGGGGGATCCAAGCCTTTTGGATGCTGATGTTTTACATGGACAGAATATTCAGGAGATATTACTTATTAAAATTACATCAAATGTAATCGTTTGCAAGACTTTGGGGATGTGAGTTTAGCGATGCAAAAGTTACCCTAGGGTGGGAGAGGATGAAGCAATGAACCAGTCAGTGCACATGAAAGATTAGGGACTAAAGGTTTCATTATAGGAAGAATCTAGTATGTTCAAGGGACGCACCTAAGTGGACACATAGGTACTGCAGTAATAGGGTATTGGGCAGGTGGGAGGGGGGCGGGTATATACATATATAATGAGTGAGATGTGCACCACCTGGGCGATGGTCATGCTGGAGACTCAGACTTGTGGGGGGAAAGGGAAAAGGGCATTTATTGAAACCTTAAAATCTGTACCCCCATAATATGCCGAAAAAAAAAAAAAAAAGACCAAATTGGGACTAAGAACCCTTTCCAGGCTCCTGTGAGATGGTGCCCTCTGGTGGATGGTGTGAAGATTACACTTGTCTCCCCAAAACTCTACTCTTGTCATTTGGATGTTTTGTTTTTCCCTAAACCTATCTTCCGTTTGCTTTACTTTCCAAAGAGGTTAGGGTTACTGTCAGAGTGCACATGCCTACTGTGTCGGGAGGAGTACAGAAAGGCCGTCATCATCCACACAGTGGCCACATCTTTCCACCATATCAGGCTTAGCTGCGATTCTTTGTGCCATCGTGGGGCCCTGCTAACATGTATTGTTTTACCTAGAAGACATGTGTTGTGAGATGTAATAGTATTTGAAGGCATTCATTTGCTATCAGAGATGAGTTTACCAGGATTTAACAGGGGCTCAAAAGTATTCAAAACATCAAAACAGGACAGATCTAATGGCTAACAAGTGGTTTTATTATCTCTTCAACCTTCATCTTTGTAGAGATAATATCTTGAAATACTAATATTGGGCTTTGATTTTCAACCCTCGCAGAGGACTTTTCCTCTATTTCATCAAAGATATTGTTTGCATCAAGACGAGGTCAGATTATAATAGCAAAACAAAAACAAAAAACAAAAAGTCAACTTTTAGGTTAAAAATCCAAACTATGCTCTTAATATCCTAAAAGAGGAGGTCTGAGCGAAACAGAAAACGGAGTTCTAGCACCTCAACAGGACAGGGTGCAGCAGAAAAGCAGACTGCCCCCCACTCCGACCTCCAGGGCACTGCAGGGTTCCCCGAGCTGGAGTAGCTGCAAGGCTGGGCCAAGGCCTGAAAAGATATCCAAGGTCGTGGGTGAGAAACAAGGGGACGGAACCCAGAGGCAGCAAACAGGACACGGCACAGCTCCACTGGTCCCCAGGAGCAAGGAGAAGCGTGGGAGCTGAACTATGCCTGAGGCATATTTTATTTTCACACTAGGGACACCTGTTCATCTCCCGAAATGGGAAAGCCCAAAGGTGACGCCACAGTGTCCTATGAAGACCACCAACTGCCAAGGCTGCCGTGGAGTGGTTTGATGGGAAAGACTTTCAAGGGAGCAATTAAAGTCTCTCTTGCTCGGAAGAAGCCTCCAATGCAAGCATGCGGGTGGTATGCCACCCTGTGAGGGCAGAGATGCCACCGCCACTCTGTGGAGCTCCAGGAGGCTGAGGGGTCCTGGGGGCCCATGGGTCGCATGGGAGGTCGTGGACATAGTGAAGGTTTCCCTCCAAGGGGGCCCCAGGTTCTTGAGGGAACCCTCTGGAGGGGCAATGTCTCCACTGCCACTACTGCTAGCATCACCACTATTGAGTTTTTGTTGTCACAAGAACCACCATGCACAATCTCTGTTGCTACTGAGCTTTCGAGTCACTTCCCCAAGATGAAAGTTCTGATTGCTGAGTCTAGGACAGGTGTCCATATCCTTGCTGTCAGGGCCAGGAGAGGGACTGTCTGGCCCCCTCTGGTGTCCACAGTGGAAACAGTTCCTTCAAGATCCCAATGATGTTCACCCCACTTAGGAAGAGTGGTCAGAGACAGAGTGGCCGAGAGTTTTTTTGAGATATACATTTTTTTAGAGCAGCTATTATTTTTATTATTATTTCGATATTATAACTTTGACTCGAGCAGTAAAAAAAGCAATCCATTCACACATATTTCTATATCAATTGAATTCTGTGCTTATTCATGTCCACACATCTAAGTAACAGAAAAGAGACCTACATGACATTTACTGGATGCCTGGACAGTACTTGCTTGTGTGTCTTTCCTGCTCTCCTCCCCATCCCTCCTGAATTGGTCCTTCAAGTGAATCTACCATTTGATCGAGCAATCCCATTGCTGGCATCTACCCAAAAGATCCAATGACACTCTACAAAAAGACACCTGCACTCGAATGTTTATAGCAGCACAATTCAATTGCCAAGGCTGTGGAAACAGGCCAAGTGCCCATCAATCCAAGAATGGATTAATAAAATGTAGATATGTATACCATGGAGTACTATTCAGCTCTAAGAAACAACGGTGATATAGCACATCTTATATTCCTGGTTAGAGCTGGAACCCCAAACTAAGTGAAGTATCCCAAGAATGGAAAACAAGCACACATATACTCACCAGCAACTGGTATAACTGAGTAGCCTAATTTTAATAAGTAATATCTCCTGAATATTCTGTCCATGTAAAACATCAGCATCCAAAAGGCTTGGATCCCCCTTCTCTGAAGGATTATCAGGCACCTGGTTTTCTCATTAAACAATTCTTCATTTCTTTTGTCCTCTTCTGGTAGGAAGTGCATATTAAGATGAAAGACCAACAGCCCTATAAACCTTAATAATTTAGCCAAGAATTAGTCAGAGAAGAGTTCTTCAGTGTCACACCCAGGAGAGGGTTTAAAGAACTTGAAAGTCCTGGGATTGTTTGGAAGCATATATAATATAATGTCTTTAAAAACCTTGTTGTCCCAGGGAAAGAAAAAGAAAGTTGGAACTGCCAATAAAATATCACATTTGAAAAAGTGTTATGCTTTTTCTAGTATAGGTAAAAACTAAATACTGTATTTTAGAGTGATTGCAGGGAGGAGGGATTCTTCTTGATGTTTTATGTATCCCCAGATGAATTTGTAGCTTACCATATTTCTTCAATCTATTATCAAATACCACATTCATTAGTTAGTGCAACATACACATCTTAACCACTTTGGTCTGGTGCTCACTGGCCGCGAAACCTTGCCCACAGCCGGCACTCATACGACAGTTTGCGCTGTGCATTGACGACGGATCCGTTTTGCTCTTCTGTGATGAGGAAAGCTTGAAAGCACTGAAAGCTTGTTTTACTGTACAGGCAGCTTTACTTGTGATGTAAATCAGAATGGGTAACATATACATATATGTTTTCATTACGTTATTTTTAAATGTTCACAATTTTATTTTGATAAATGAAAAATTAGAAAAGTCGTATCAGGGCTGTCGGCTACAGTCGAGGCTGGGCTGTGCGCGTTCATCTGTGGCTGTCGACTACAGTCGACGCTCGTACTGGAGTGGTTAAGAGAGTTCAAGGTGAAGCTCTGGATGGTTCAGTAATGTCATATTATTCCTCGGATTATCACCTCTCTTTGGAAAAAGGCTATCACCACCTCAGCAAAAGAAATAGAGTTGTCGTCGTCTCTTCTTAAAATAATGGCATATACGGTAGTGATATACACCCACCTTCCTTAAGACAGTATGCTTTCAGGCTGTCTTCCATCAAGCTGTGCGCAGCTACTGTCTAGTCCTAGTTACTGCCTCGCTCGCTTCCCCGTAGCTCGAAAAGGCTGCTTATTGGAGCCATTAACAGCCAAAAAGGAGTTGCTCTAAGATTGGTAAGGATGAAAAGCCAATGTCGAGGGAGACGCACGTTGAGAGAATGAGGAGGAAGGATAGAAAATGGCGTGCACGGATTACAGTACCTACAGCCAAGCTGCAGCCCAGCAGGGCTACAGCGCTTACACCACCCAGCCCACTCAAGGATATGCACAGACCACCCAGGCATATGGGCAGCAAAGCTATGGAACCTACGGACAGCCCACTGAGGTCAGCTATACCCAAGCTCAGACCACTGCGATCTATGGGCAGACTGCCTATGCGACTTCTTATGGACAGCCTCCCACTGGTTATACTACTCCAACTGCCCCCCAGGCGTACAGCCAGCCTGTCCAGGGGTATGGCACTGGTGCTTATGATACCACCACTGCTACAGTCACCACCACCCAGGCCTCCTATGCAGCTCAGTCTGCATATGGCATTCGGCCTGCTTACCCAGCCTATGGGCAGCAGCCAGCAGTTACCGCACCTACAAGACCTCAAGACGGTAACAAGCCTGCTGAGACTAGTCAGCCTCAGTCTACCACAGGGGGATGCAACCAACCCAGCCTAGGATACGGCCAGAGTAACTACAGTTATCCCCAGGTACCTGGGAACTACCCCATGCAGCCAGTCACTGCACCTCCATCCTACCCTCCTACCAGCTATTCCTCTACACAGCCGACTAGTTATGATCAGAGGAGTTACTCTCAGCAGAACACCTATGGGCGGCCGAGCAGCTATGGACAGCAGAGTAGCTACGGTCAACAAAGCAGCTATGGGCAGCAGCCTCCCACTAGTTACCCCCCCAAGTTGGATCCTACAGCCAGGCTCCAAGTCAATATAGCCAACAGAGCAGCAGCTACGGGCAGCAGAGTTCATTCCGACAGGACCCCCCCAGTAGCATGGGTGTTTACGGGCAGGAGCCTGGAGGATTTTCCGGACCAGGAGAGAACCGGAGCATGAGTGGCCCTGATAACCGGGGCAGGGGAAGAGGGGGATTTGATCGTGGAGGCGTGAGCAGAGGTGGGCGGGGAGGAGGACGCGGTGGAATGGGCACTGGAGAGCGAGGTGGCTTCAATAAGCCTGGCGGACCCATGGACAAAGGACCAGATCTTGATCTAGGCCCGCCTGTAGATCCGGATGAAGACTCTGACAACAGTGCAATTTATGTGCAAGGAATAAATGACAATGTGACTCTAGATGATGGGGCAGACTTCTTTAAGCAATGTGTGGTTGTTAAGATGAACAAGGGAACTGGGCAACCCATGATCCACATCTACCTGGACAAGGAAACGGGAAAGCCCAAAGGTGACGCCACAGTGTCCTATGAAGACCCACCAACTGCCAAGGCTGCCGTGGAGTGGTTTGATGGGAAAGACTTTCAAGGGAGCAAACTTAAAGTCTCTCTTGCTCGGAAGAAGCCTCCAATGAACAGCATGCAGGGTGGTATGCCACCCTGTGAGGGCAGAGGAGTGCCACCGCCACTCTGTGGAGCTCCAGGAGGCCGAGGAGGTCCTGGGGGCCCCATGGGTCGCATGGGAGGCTGTGGAGGACATAGAGAAGGTTTCCCTCCAAGGGGGCCCCGAGGTTCTCGAGGGAACCCCTCTGGAGGAGGCAATGTCTCCACTGTGCCACTACTGCTAGCATCACCACTATTGAGTATTTGTTGTCACAAGAACCACCATGCACAATCTCTCTTGCTACTGAGCTTTCGAGTCACTTCCCCAAGATGAAAGTTCTGATTGCTGAGTCTAGGACAGGTGTCCATATCCTTGCTGTCAGGGCCAGGAGAGGGACTGTCTGGCCCCCTCTGGTGTCCACAGTGGGAAACAGTCCCTTCAAGACTCACAATGATGTTCACCCCACTTAGGAAGAGTGGTCAGAGACAGAGTGACCGAGAGTTTTTTTGAGATATACATTTTTTAAGAGCAGCTATTTACTTTTTTATTATTATTTCAGAATATTATAACTTTGACTCGGAGCAGTAACAAAAGCCAGTCCATTCACACATCATATTCTCATATCAATTGAATTCTGTGCTTATTCATGTCCACACATCTAAGTAACAGAAAAGAGACCTACATGACATTACTGGATGCCGGACAGTACTTGCCTTGTGTGTCTCCTGCTCTCCCCCCCATCCCTCCTGAATGGTCCTTCAAGTGAATCTACATTTGATCCAGCAATCCATTGCCTGGGCATCATCCCACAAAGATCCAATGACACTCTACAAAAAGACACCTGCCACTCGAATGTTATAGCGAGCACAATTCATATAAGGCTGTGGAAACAGCCCAAGTGGGCCCATTCAATCCAAGAATGGATTAATAAATGTAGTATATGTATACCATGGAGTACTATTCAGCTCTAAGAAACAACGTGATATAGCACATCTTATATTTTCCTGGTTAGAGCTGGAACCCACACTACTAAGTGAGAGATCCCAAGAATGGAAACAAGCAACGCACATATACTCACCAGCAAACTGGTATTAACTGAGTAGCCACCTAATGGACACATAGTACTGCACGTAATAGGGTATTGGGGGCAGGTGGGAGGGGGCGGTATATACATACATAATGAGTGAGATGTGCACCACCTGGGGGATGGTCATGCTGGGAGACTCAGAACTTGTGGGGGAGGGGGAAAGGGCATTTATTGAACCTTAAATCTGTACCCTCATAATATGCCCGGAAAAAAAAAAAAAAAGACCAAATTGGGACTAAGAACCCTTCCAGCCCTGTGAGGATGGTGCCCTCTGGTGGATGGTGTGGAAGATTACACTTTTCTCCCCAAAACTCTACTCTTGTCATTTGGGATGTTTTTGTTTTTCCCTAAACCATCTTCCATTTGCTTACTTTCCAAAGAGGTTAGATTACTGTCAGAGTGCGCATGCTACTGTGTCGGGAGGAGTACAGAAAGGCCGTCATCATCCACACAGTGGGCACATCTTCACCATATCAGGCTTAGCTGCCGATTCTTTGTGCATTGTGGGGCCCTGCTAACATGTATTGTTTTACCTAGAAGACATGTGTTGGTGAGATGTAATAATATTTGAAGGCATTCATTGCTACAAGAGATGAGTTTACCAGGATTTAACAGGGGTTCCAAAGTATTCAAAACATCAAAACAGGACAGATCTAATGGCTAACAAGTGGTTTTATTATCTCTCAACCTTCATCTTTGTAGGAGATAATATCTTGAAATACTAATATTGGGCTTTGATTTCAACCCTCGCAGAGGACTTTTCCTCTATTTCATCAAAGATATTGTTTGCATCAGGACGAGGTCAGATTATAATAGCAAAACAAAAACAAAAAACAAAAAGTCAATTTTTAGGTTAAAAATCCAAACTATGCTCTTAATATCCTAAAAGAGGAGGTCTGAGCGAAACAGAAAACGGAGTTCTAGCACCTCAACAGGACAGGGTGCAGCAGAAAAGCAGACTGCCCCCCACTCCGACCTCCAGGGCACTGCAGGGTTCCCCGAGCTGGAGTAGCTGCAAGCTGGGCCAAGCCTGAAAAGATATCCAAGGTTGTGGGTGAGAAACAAGGGACGGAACCCAGAGGTGGCAAACAGACACGGCACAGCTCCACTGGTCCCCAGGAGCAAGGAGAAGCGTGGGAGCTGAACTATGCCTGAGGCATATTTTATTTTCACACTAGGGACACCTGTTCATCTCCCGCAGGAAGCAGCGTTGGTGCCTGACCATCCCGCTGCCGCAGGGTGTAGCCTTCGGTGGAATCTGCTTTTGGTAACACGCTGAGCATCCCACACTCCATGCCATCCCACATTCTTTTTTTTTTTTTTGAGACAGAGTCCATCTTTGTTGCCCAGGCTAGAAGTGTTGAGTGCCTCGGCTCAAAGCCAGGCTCTCAGCAACCTCAACTACTCCTGGTTATTGCCTCAAGCGACCTCTGCCTCAGAGCCTCCCGAGAGCTGGGCAACTACAGGCACTGCTGCCAGCTTATGCTCCGGTAATTGGTTTTCTTTTCATGGCCTGGTATCATATTAGTTTGGCAGTATATTTCTGTTCGTTATGTGATAGTATGAGGACAGTGGGTCATCACTCTTTGTGTTCAGGTTGGTTCGCAACTCTCTGTAGCTCCTACACGGATTGCTGGCCCGTCCTCGTCGCTTCTCGTCCGAGGAGAGCCGTATTGATTATCAGGCGGTGGATGCTCATGAGCGCCTCGGGGGCCCATCCCATCATTTTCGTGAGATGCTTGGCTGTGAGCCCCTGCGCTACATACGTACACTGGAGGGCGCCTATCCCTCTTGCGGCCCCCGCACACAACTAACTCAGTATATCTCGCTCAGCCCGCTAAAAGTCTGGGAGGTGATGCGTCCTTTGGTAATTCAGGACATACAAAATACTGCCCACTACTGCTGCTACTTTTAACTTTGAAAAGAAAAGAATGAGGAAGAGTAGAGCCCAAACCAAAGGCTACCTCTAGTTCTCCTAGAAACTAGAAGAATAAAGGAAAAAAGAAGGATGACGACCCTCTAGAATCCCAGCCCCTACCCCACTCTGTCCTAACTTGATGTTTTAGTCTCAGTCAGGAGTGAGGTAAGCTTGACAGATTCTCCACATGCCGGAGCAGGTGGGGGAGAAGCAAAAAGCGTGCAACACTTGCTGCAAGTCCCTAACCCCCCTGTCATACCCCACTATAGCATTATGTGACAAAGATAAATGTCTGGCTACCTTAAGCCACTTTCTTAACCCTTTTGAGTTTTAGAACCTCACTGATACAATAGTTGTGAGGATTTAAAAAGAAAAGTGCACAGAATAAACAAGCCATTGGATTTTATTATACGTGAAAACCAGAAAGGAGTGGGTCCAAGTGGGTCTACTATGTGGAAATAAATTCAGATGAGTCAGAAGAAGGATCTGACAGCTGCTACGTTCAGGGAGACATGGCCAAAGAAACTCTGGAAACAGACAAGCCCTCCAAACCCTCTATGAGCAGGGTGTCGGTCTGTTCCATAAACCCAGCAGAGGAAGTTGCCTTTAAGGATTTGACTTTCTGTTTAATAAATCACAAAGTAATCAGAGGAAAAAAAAAAATCAAGAACAGTTCTATGAGTTCTGCATACTCAAAATGACAGTCTGGACTTAGTATGAGCATTGTTGTGATCCAGAACAAGAAAGGGTGAGGAGGTGGTTATTATGATGGGTAAATTATTATGTACTAAATATGGCTGGTGGTCCCCACTGTATATGGTGGGTGAGCGATATTTATAAACGGCCCAAAGTCAAGGATATAGTAAATTTATTTGAACGTTCTCATGGGAGGAAGGGGAGGGAGGCAGAGAGGCGCAGGGCAAGCAGATCTCAGTTGCTGGAGTTGGGGTAGGGAGGGCAACAGGCAGGAAGCCGAGAGTGAAGGTCATAGGTACACTCCTCTCTTGTTTCATTCGCCTTCCCTCTGCACCCTGCTCAGCAAGCGAGACTGAGAGAAGCCAGAAGGGGATGGAGTGTGCCCAACCCAGCAGAGTCTGGTGGCCCACGGTGAGACACCTCTGAAGGAAGGACACCCTGTCATCTCTGACAGCTCCACCTCCCACAGCTCATCCAGACATCCTGGAGTGTGCAGGCAACAGGGAACCATCCGGGGGCACATTCTGGTTCAAGCATTAACAAAAATGTAACAATACCACAAAATGGAGAAGCCGTAGATCCAGATCATCAAAATGGCACTGAAGACCACATGCCAGCAGAAGAAGGTGGTGACAAAAGCAATGTCATTTTCATCATCATCCCTCCATTCATAGCCAGAGATGGGTTTGTACACCGTAAAGGCTATCTGAATCAGCCAAGAGCCCATGATCATATACAAAAAGGCCTTCATCATCCAGAGCAGTGGCATGTTGGGAGCCCACAGCTCTGCGATCACCACCAGCATCAGCAGGAACATGGCCTGGGTGAACAGTATGTGAGACTGCAGCTCCACTCCTTCTATGTCCTTCATGTGAGACAGCATCAGGGGCAGGATGGTAAATATGCCCAGGGCTTGGACACTTTGCTCCAGAGCAGCACACCTCTGGGGCAGCAGGTTCTGGCTCACCACGTCTACACACCCACTCATGAAGATGGTCATGTAGAAAGTGAGATGCTGCCACGGTTTGGGATACACAAAGTCTCTCCGATGATATATCTTGGTGATAAGTACAAACTGTGTAGGAATGCTATGCAACTCTTGGGCTACTAAAATGCAGGTGCTCAGTATCTTCACCAACCCCACATAATATATTTGCCGGAGCCAGGCCCATCTTCCGTTTTTCCAGGGACGCCGTGGCGGGTACTGGACAAGGGCATTGCATACCAAGGCCCTGGAGACCAGTCGTGCATGGTAAAGTCCATAGAAGAAGAAAGACAGCCCAGGGAACAGATGGCCCTCAAAGCCTCCCATGGAAGTGAAGGTAGGTCTGACCAAAGGCAGAAGCAAAAAGCTCAGGAATGGCCATTAACTTAGAGCCACTTCAGGCTCTAGAGCGTGGAAGGAGCCTCTTGAAGCCTACTTATATCCTCTGTTCAGCCCACTGATCCACATACAGAAGGGAAATGGTTTTGGAGGAAGCCCAAACTTATGGTAGGGTGGGTGTCATGGTTTCCGTTCTAGTCTTCTGCTCTGGTTCATTGATAACCAGCTAATCTTTGACAAACAATGAAATAAGCATATTATCCAGCACAACGCCTGGGCATCTGTCACTCAGAGACTGTGCTAGAGGCCCTCCTGCCTCTCCTCTCACTGTCCTTGACCCTATTGCTACCTTCCTTACTTCCCTCCTGTCTTAGTCTGTCAGACTCTATAACAAAATGCCATAAACTTGTGGATTATAAATCATATAAATGTATTTCTCATAGTTCTGGAGGCTGGGAAGTCCAAGATTAGGGTGTCAGCAGAATCAGTGCCTGGTGAGGGTCCACTTTCTCATAAATGATGCCTTCTTGCTGTGTCCCCATGTGGTGGGAGTGGCAAGGCAGCCCTCTGGGGCCTCTTTTATAAGGGCACTAATCCCATTTAGGGGGACACTGCCCTCATAACCTAATCACCTCCCAAAGGCCCCTCCTCCTAATACCATAATCTTGGGGGTTAGGATTTCAACATGAGTTTTGGAAGACATAAACTTTCTGACCATAGCACCTCCCAAATTCACAGAACATAAGGAAGAACCCAGAGAAAGCATGGAGGATATACAATGCAGGGTTTATCCCTTAAGATTCTTCATATAGGACTTTGTACAAACACTAAGTATAAATGTATTCTCCTAGGTATAAATAGTTTTAAGAAGCACAAATAAACATGACAAGTCCTCAATTATTCTGACATAATTTGAGGATTGCCAGAAAAATGTTCACTCCTAAGAATCTCTCTTCTGCAGATCTCCAGAGATAACTGAGATGCCACCTTCTGAGATTGCTTCCTTTGGGTTACAGCAGTGTTCTTCCAAGTTAAAGTGAAGATGAACAGGTTCTACCCAGAAATACCAATTCAAAATTTCTTGGAGTAGTGTTTTGCAATAAACATTTCAATGAATACTTCCAGGTAATTCTTATGCAGGTAATGTGTCCTGCATATAAGACACCACCTAAATTTTCAGAAGCACTGAGTAAAATGTAAGTACTGGTGAGAAGGAGAGCCCATTAAGCTAGTAACTTAGTGTGAATTTGCCACCAAATATTTTCTCTAATGGAATAAGCATTAGAATGTAATGGTCATGGGGGAGGGGGATGGCAAGGGCAAAATATGTAACCATAACAATATTTGTACCCCCATAATATGAGGAAATAAAAAGGGAAAAAAAGAGAAAACAACCTTATATTTCATTTAAAATAATTTAAAAACAACTCCTATAACCTTTCAACAATTAAAAAAATATATGTAATTGTACATTTTTTTTTACAGAGTGGGTTTTTAAGAATTTTCTTGAGGAGCTTTCAAACATGCTCAGAAAATAAAAACTAGATGAAAACATCAATGGAAAAAAGAAAAAAGAATGTAATGGTCATGTCAGCCAACCAAGTACAGGAAATGTCTCTAATTTCCTCATATAGATCCTACAGATTTCCATTTTGGATTATTTGTTAGTAAATTGTCTTTTGTTGTGCTATGAATGGATCTACCATTTTATTTTATAATTATTATTGATATAAGAAACTAAAATTTTATGTTGACCTTCATATTAATTATCTTGTTGCATTGTCATACTGTTCTTACTATTCTTCAAATGATTTTATATAATCATATTATGGGAATAGTTCAGCTCAACTTTCTCTCTGTCTCATGTGCTCGCTGACTGTGTGATGACTTCCACTGTGGGGTGACCCTCACCACATGGTGGCGACATGCTCTTGGACTTCCCAGCCACTAGAACTGTGAGCCAAATAGGTGTCTGTTCTTTATAAATTACCCAGTCTGTGATATTTTATTTATAGCAACAGAAAACAGACTAAGTAAGACACTAAGTAAACTTTCTGGTCAGTTCCTTCCACTTTATCCCCACCCACTGCCCTTGTTCAGGTATCATCAACTCTGCTTCATTACTGAAACATCTCTCAACTAGGTCCTGATCAGAATTTATCCTTCCCCCTGTGAGCCCCTCACCCCCCACCCCACTTCCTGCCATCTCAGCTATAACAGTATTCCCATACTGCTCAAAGCACGTGTTTGCAAAACATGTGAGGCAGTCCAGCAGACAGAGCTGCAGACAGAAGTGGAACCTCTGGTTTAAATGTGGTCATGTTTCTCCAGTCTCACCTCAAGGAGCAGGGAGGCCGGGTCTACATGCTGAAGAAATTGGACCCTATGGGACAACAGCCCTGCTCAGCACATCCTGCTTGGTTCCCCCCAGACAACAAAAATTCATGATACGAAGTCACCATCAAGAAATGCTTCAAGGTGCTCATGACTAAGCAACTATGCCCTATCCTCTGAGGGTCCCTTAAATTTCATGTCTCTTCTGCCACCTGCTACCCCTCAGAGACTTTATAACCAAACTCTCCAATCTGGGAGCTGGAAGCCTGCTTACCAGCCATGCTCTGTGGAATCCAGTCTCCTTGTGACCTTTGATCATGCTTGTGTGAGGCAATCATGGTAGCAGCCACCAGAAAGGGAATAAGTTTGACTCTTTCTTTTCATATTTTAAATTACTTCCATGTTATTAAAGATAAAATGATTTGAAAGAAAACAATCACATACTTGCATACAAAAGGAACACCCCAGAAACCTTCACCTGCTCGTTGCAATTCAACAAACATGTATTAACCACTTACAATCAGCCAGACTCTGCTAAAAGCTGGTTTTACAAAGATAACTAAAACATGTCACCTGCCCTTAAGGAACTCAAAAGTAGTACCTTGCCACTCAAAGTGTGGTCTGTAGCCACCCGTCTCAGCATCCCCTGGGAGTTTGCTAGCAACGTAGAATCCCAGGCCCCATCCCAGACCTACAGAACCCGAACCTGCATTTTACCACGATCCCCAGTTAATGTGTATGCACATGAAGTTTAGAAGTATTGGTCTAGTAGAAAAGATTCAACTAAAGCCATCTTGGATTAAATTTTATGATGGTAGTATAAACAAAGTAAGGCGGGAACATGGAGGAGGTTGTGGTTTGTGCTGGTGGGGAGGAGGTCAGGAAGATCCTTGCAGAGCAGTAGACATTTGTGTTGAGATTTAAGTGGAACAGGCTGACAACTTGGGGGTGGGGAGCAGGTGAGGGTAGGGGCTCCTGGTGGGGGTGGGAGGTGGGCTTCCTGGAGAGTCAGACTACAACAGACTGGAACAAAGGTCTTTCCAGAGCTCCGAATCTCACCCTGGGGTGGACGGCCCCGCCCTGCGTGTAGGTGCTGCACTCTCCTTGGCACCGACCTGGATGAGGACAGGTAGTCTCTCGTGACCCTTGTCACCAGACCTCCACACATGGAGCAGATTGGTGTATGGACAGGGAGGGGGCTCTTCCCAACCCCTGCCCCCTGGTGACCCTTCAGGCATGAGGGGCTGATGTTTGCAGTCAGCAAAGGATGCCGAGTCTCAGATCTCGTGCCAGGACACCTGGCCCCTGGCAGCAGCTCTGCAGAGCGACCTTGGTAGGAAGTAGATGCACAGATTCACATGGATTCCCGGCAGCCCGAACGGCCTGTGGGCAGAGGGCTTGTGAGGGAAGTTGCCTCCAGAGAGAGTAGAGAAGTGATGAAAACTAACGGGAAGGGGATTAGGGCAGGGACCTAGCTGCGTGACCGTAAGGGAGTCTTCGGGCCTCAGCTGTAAAATGAGGAGGACAGACCAGATGATTCCCAAGCCCTTTCTAACCTTGATAGCCTGGGATTCTGGCACCTTCCAGACAATTTTAGAAAGGTTACCATTTTCCCCTTTTTCCCCTTTCTCAAACTACTTTGATCCTCTTGGAATTTACTTTCCAGAGGCAAAATGAAACATTCTTCTTGGGGACACAATCTCCACTCAAATCACAAGCGCAGCATCTGGGTTGGATTGTCGTCCGGGTTACAGCTAGGGGGAAGAGTGATTAATGATGAAATAGATACTAAACATCCACTATGCATTTTGTTTGTTAGCTGAGTGGAGGACCAAAGAAGTAGAAGCTTCCGTTCTGGCCAAAAATGTTCTCACATATATTTGGAGAAATATGACATACATTAGTAAAGAAGAAAGCAGTATATAATTCCATAATAAAATGTTGTATTAATCATAACTGTTCTCATTTCACAGCGCTAAACACTTTTTAAAAATTACTTCATTTTTTTCCTTATAAATCTATGAGGTAAGAAATCATTTAGAATGTTTTTGGCTATACATAATAGAAAAACCTTGATTTGACTTTTTTTTTTTGAGACAGAGTCTCACTCCGTTGCCTGGGCTAGAGTGCCGTGGCGTCAGCCTTGCTCACAGCAACCTCAAACTCCTGGGCTCAAGCGATCCTCCTGCCTCAGCCTCCCAAGTAGCTGGGACTATAGGCATGTGCCATTATGCCCGGCTAATTCATATATATATATATAATATATATATATATATAAGTTGTCCAGCTAATTTCTTTCTAATTTTTAGTAGAGACGGAGTCTTACTCTTGCTCAGGGTGGTCTTGAACTCCTGAGCTCAAATGATCCTTCCGCCTTGGCCTCCCAGAGTGCTAGGATTAGAGGCGTGAGCCACTACGCCTGGCCAGATTTCACTGGTTTAAGCTGTAAAAAAAATCTATTTTTTCACTTAATGAGAACTCTAAAGGTAGCACAGCACCCAAGATGGTCTCCTAAACTCTCTCAGACTGTTCTAGTACATTCTTGGGGTGCCACTCTCCCATCATGCGTGCATGTCAGCTGACACTCCCTGGTATGGACTGTCTATTATGGTTTAAATTGTATCCCTCCAGTATTCATATGTTGAAGCCTCCAGAACCTCAGAATATATATTATTTGCAAAGAAGGCCATTGCACATATAATTATCTAAGCTGAGATGAGGTCACATTGGAGCAGGGTGGGCCCCTAATCCAATATGGCTGCTATCCTTACATGAGAGAATTTGGAAGCAGACACGGTACAGGCAGAACGCCATGTAAAAGTGAAGGCAGAGGTCTGGGTGGTGTTTCTATAAGCCAAGGAACGTCAAAGATTGCCAG